CACCCTCACCATCAGCAACCTCCAGGCTGAAGATGTGGGAAACTATTACTGTCAGCAGTATAATAACTATCCACCCACAATGCTTCAGCCTCAAACACAAACCTGCTCCCCGGGGCTGAGGGTCAGGGAGGCTTTGCTGCACCAGCTGCTTCCTCTTCGCTCAGCCCTGAACATGTGCGTTCCCCTATCTGCCTGAGAAGTCACTTCTCCTGACTTACTCCTTAGAGGGCTTGTAAGGCACAGCAGACAATGAAGGGGTCGGAATTTTCCTGCATCCCCCATCCCTTTTTTAAAAAAGATTTTATTTATTAATTTGCCAGAGAGAGAGGGCACAGCGGGGGTAGCAGGAGGCAGAGGGAGAAGCAGGCTTCCTTCTGAGCAGGGAGCCCAATGCGGGATTCCATCCCAGGATGTTGGGATCATGACTTGAGCTGAAGGCAGCCACTTAACCGACTGAGCCTCCCAAGCATCCCACCTGCATCCTTTTTGTAGGAGGTTATTGAAGACAAATGCTATGAAGATGTCTTAGGGATGCTCTTGGGAGTTTTTGTGCCCCAGGAAGCTGCGTGATTCCCAGGGTCCCATGACAGGAGTGAGCCAGGAAGGTCTGTCTTTAGCCTCTGACAAAGGGCTGTGAACTTTACACCCTGCAGGTCAGTTCTCCCTTCCTGCTCCTCTTGGACTCTGGGACATTTCTCTTTTATTTCCTTATTCTCTTTTCTTCACTCTCCATCACCCTCACACTCTGAACCTTCCTAGGATGAAACCTTTGAGCTCTCCTATTCAGAATCTCCCACGTGGAAGGTAGTGTCCCTCTCGCTTTTTCCTTCCATGGGCCCTGTTTCCCAGCCTTCCTGGGCAGTGTCCTGGACATTCATTTCTGCTCCAGCTCCTTTCCTACCTCCCTTCTCTCTCTTCTCCATTTCTCTGAGGCGTACTCATTCTCACAAAGGCAATTCTCTCATTTTTTTAAAAGATTTTATCTATCTATTTATTGCTGGGGGTAGTGGCCGAGGGAGATGGCGAGACTCTCAGGCAGACACCCTGTTGAGTGGGGACCTGTGGGTGGGAACTCTTAACTGTCTCACCATCAGTGGCCTGGAGGCCAAAGGTGCAGCCCACTACTGTTGCTAGCAGGGGGCAGCCACCCACCTACAGTGTTAGAGACAGCTTCAAAAATTCCAGCTGTGGCTCCAGCTGTGCTCCCTTGGATACCCTGAAGGTCATGGTCTCTGCTTCTGAGTCTGGGAGAACTCATCATTGCCTTCTGTGGTACCTGGGCTTGGGTTTCAGAGGGGAGAGGAGAACAGGGTCTGGAGAATGAGTCGGTTCTCAGTGGGCTCCGTTTTGGCAGCAGCCTGGGTCATGAAGGGAAAGGTGCACATGTGATGCCATTCTTTCAGAACATTACTCTTGTTTTTGTTTTTGGTTGTTTAAGATTTTTATTTATTTATCTGTCAGAGATAAAAAAAAAAAAAAAAAAGTTCTTGGACCCACAGGGCTGAGCAAATAGGGACAAATATTTGCAGAAATAATATTTGTGTCTTAGAACTGGCAAAGTAATACTGGCAATAAACTTGCAAATATTACAATAAGCTTGTGATAAGCTTACAAACAGATGAACTTGCAAGAGTAGTATTTGTGTATTATAATTTTAAATAATACAATAAATATGTATAATAGATGGTAAGACTTTATTAATTTGATATTTTGACTGAATATAAGATTTTTCTGGATTGCTTTTTGGCAATTTCATTTCTTATGGCATCAAAATTTGTACTTTTAGCAAACTCAATTTCCATATGTATTTGAAAATAACACTGTCTTTTGGCAAATACAAGATCTCAAATATTTTTCTATAATTTTTAATTTTGAAAACGTTTTTTCTGATGGAAAAGAAAAAAAAACCTTGAATTGTTTGGAATATTTTATAGTCTGTGACAACATAATAATGCCTTTCTGATTAAGTAACTAAACTATAAATTTTAATGTATCTAAACATGATGAACCATTTCTAAAAAAAATGACTTAACTCTTTGCAAAAGTAGTTTTGTGTAAATCTGATTTAATGTTAGATACAAATGTATATAATGATATCTTTTTTAAAAATTTTATTTAACTTCTTTTCAGTGTAACAGAACTCATTGTTTATGCATGACAGTCAGTGCTCCGTGCAATACATGCCCTCCATAATACCCACCACCTGGCTCCCCCAACCTCCCACCCCCCGCCCCTTCAAAACCCTCAGATTGTTTTTCAGAGTCCACAGTCTCTCATGGTTCATCTCCCCTTCCAATTTCCCTCAACTCCCTTCTCCTCTCCATCTCCCCATGTCCTCCCTGTTATTTCTCATGCTCCACAAAAAAGTGAAACCATATGATAATTGACTCTCTCTGCTTGACTTCAGCATAATCTCTTCCAGTCCCGTCCATGTTGTTACAAAAGTGGGTATTCATCCTTTCTGATGGAGGCATAATACTCCATTGTGTATATGGACCACATCTTCCTTATCCATTCGTCCGTTGAAGGGCATTTTGGTTCCTTCTACAGTTTGGCGACCGTGGCCATTCCTGCTACAAACATTGGGGTACAGATGGCCCTTCTTTTCACTACATCTGTATCTTTGGGGTAAATACCCAGTAGTGCAATTGCAGGGTCATAGGGAAGCTCTATTTTTAATTTCTTAAGGAATCTCCACACTGTTCTCCAAAGTGGCTGCACCAACTTGCATTCCCGCCAACAGTGTAAGAGGGTTCCCCTTTCTCCACATCCCCTCCAACACGTGTTGTTTCCTGTCTTGCTAATTTTTGCCATTCTAACTGGTGTTAGGTGGTATCTCAATGTGGTTTTAATTTTAATCTCCCTGATGGCTAGTGATGATGAACATTTTTTCATGTGTCTGATAGCCATTTGTATGTCTTCATTGGGGAAGTGTCTGTTCATGTCTTCTGCCCATTTTTTTTTTTTTTGACATGATTATCTGTTTTGTGTGTGTTGAGTTTGAGAAGTTCTTTATAGATCCTGGATATCAGCCTTTTGTCTGCACTGTCATTTGCAAATATCTTCTCCCATTCTGTGGGTTGCCTCTTTGTTTTGTTGACTGTTTCCTTTGCTGTGCAGAAGCTTTTGATCTTGATGAAGTCCCAAAAGTTCATTTTTGCTTTTGTTTCCTTTGCCTTTGGAGACATATCTTGAAAGAAGTTGCTGTGACTGATATTGAAGAGGTTACTGCCTATGTTCTCCTCTAGGATTCTGATGGATTCTTGTCTCACGTTGAGGTCTTTTATCCATTTCAAGTTTATCTTTGTGTACTTTGTAAGAGAATGGTCGAGTTTCATTCTTCTACATATAGCTGTCCAGTTTTCCCAGCACCATTTATTGAAGAGATTGTCTTTTTTCCACTGTATATTTTTTCCTGCTTCATCAAAGATTATTTGACCATAGAGTTGAGGGTCCATGTCTTTGCAAATGAATCAATGTGATAGAACAAACTAATAAGAGAAGAGAGAAGAACCACATGGTCCTCTCAATTGATGCAGAAAAAGCATTTGAAAAAATCCAGCATCCATTCCTGATTAAAACGCTTCAAAGTATAGGGATAGAGGGAACATTCCTGAATTTCATAAAATCTATACAATGATACCTTAATGTTTCTTCTGACATTTCTCACAGTATGTAGATAAAAAACATGAAACTGAGAGTAGCTCCATAATTTCATACACTTCAAAACACCTGTTTATTACATTCTACCTGTCCCTTCAATTACAACTAATCTTAAAATTGTCTTATTAAAGATTGTTTAGTATGAAGCTTCATATAAAATAGTGCTCTTCATTAAATGTGACAATATTTAAATTTAACATTTACTGCTAGGACTGTGGCTACTTAGCTTACGTTGCTGTAGTGGTTTTCAAAACCGAGATCCTAAATTCCCTGAAGAATTCTCATAATTCTTTTTTTGACACATCGGTATGCTATGCTCTGCTCATTTCAAGTGTAGCTACCGTATCTCTCCACACAACACTGTAGCAATCTCATAGACTATATTCCCTTGCTTGTACTTTTCATCCCTGTGACTTACTCATTCCATAACTGGAAACCCATTCCTCCCAATCTCCTTCATACATTCTTCCCCTCCTGCCTGTTCCCTTCCCCTCAGGCAACCACCAGTTTGGTCTCGGTATTCAGGGGTCTTTCTCCTTTTGTTTGTTTTGTTTTCTGTTTTAGATTCTACATATAAATGAAATCATATGATGTTTTTCTTTCTCTGGGCTTACTTCAACTCACATAATACCCTACTGGTCCACTCATGTTGTCTCAAATGGCTAGATTTCATTCCTTTTATGGCTGGGTAAAATTTCATTGTATATATGGACATCGTCTTTACAGGATTAAGAGCTTATATCTACTATGGGTTTCCAAGTCTGTTTGGGAGCTTGAAGAAAAAGGTTTACTAGTCGTTCTCGGCCATATTTCCTGTGGGGTTAGTGTGTATAGAGTGTTAACTAGAGAACATAGTACAAGAACAGTTAGTATAACTGGGAAAGAAGATACTCAGAGAGTGGGAAAATAAGCAGTAATAAATTCTGAATGATATCAAATATTATCCTACTGAAAATATCATAAAGTTTGTTAGCTCAAAAATGTATATAATTGTGTTGCCACAAAATATGCCTCAGGTTTCTGACACTCAGGCTGAGTAATTGTCCCTGACCCATGCATACAGGCTGGGAGGGTCGGGGTAAGGTTCAGGGCATCTGTCCTGGCAGCTCACTGCTCAGCCCCACAGGATGATCACATCACTTCTGGAGCCGGTTGTGCCCCGCTGAGGCTGTTGGTGCCCAGGGGCCAGGACTCGGTCCAGAGCACTCAGCTGCACGTTACTGCCCTGAGTTCCCCAGCACCTGCCTCTGACAACAGCTCAGAGCCTTTGCTGTGCCCGCTCCCTGCTCAGGCAACACACGTGCCCAGTGGGGACCGCCGAACATAGAGGTTTGTGTTCAGGCTTGAACCACTGTGGGAGGAAAATGTGTATCTTGACTGCAGTAATAAACTCCTACATCGTCAGCCTCCACCCTGCTGATTCTCAGGGTGAAATCTGTCCCTGACCCGCTGCCACTGAACCTGTCTGGGACTCCAGTGAAACGGTTGGAAACCTTATAGATCAGGAGCTGTGGGGGCTGGCCTGGCTTCTGCAGGTACCAGTGCAGATAGGTGTTTCCATTACTGTGTACAAGGCTCTGACTGGCCCTGCAGGATATGGAGGCCGGATCTCCGGGGGTGACGGACAGCAAGAGTGGGGTCTGAGTCAGCACGACCTCCCCGCTGGATCCTAAAATAATGAGAGTAAAGTACAGATTATGGAATAACAGTGTAATCCATTTTTATGATTTTAAATTTCAATTATATTAGACCAAATCATTATTTTGTGATTGGATTCCTATTCTAAATATATTTGAATTCCATGGATAACCCAAGAATTGCAGGGCACAGAGTGGCCACATTTTTTTCCTTCAGCATCTCACTAAAGCACTGTTCTTTGGTCCTTGCAGCGTCTTCATAATTTTCACAGATCTCAATATTTAATACCCCTTTTCGGAGGGCAATCTCACCCCTGGAGAGAACACACATAGGGACTAACAGCACCCAGACAGCTCACCCTCCTCACTGTAATCTCCCATCTCCTCCTGGCTCTGCTCTTACCTGGGACCCAGAGCATCAGCAGCCCCAGGAGCTGAGAAGGGAACCTCATTTTGAGAAGCTGAACTGTTGAGTCCTAGTAAGTAAACACAAGCTCAGAGCTGACATTTATGTCAGACTTCCAAGGCAAGGTCCTCCCCAGAGGACAATATGCAAATCCTGTGGTGGGTGTGGCAGAGTGGAAGGAGCAAAAGGCAGGGTGCAGGGCCCTCTCCTGGGAGTGCAGTAACTTAAAATGTCTTCTGTGTTTGGAGGAAAACTAACAGAGACAAATTCCCTACTGCTTTGTGGGAAGCAGGACCTCCCTGCGATAATCAGGATCTGTGGCAGGACACAGTGCTCATAGCCCTGCCTTCTGAGAAAGCTCCAGAGAACCTGACGATACAGACACGAGTGTCCAGAGTCATTTATGGGTGGTGAATGGTCATCCTGTTTGGATTCCTGTCAGCTAATGTCCAGGAGGAAACAGGTCCCACTCCCACACCAGCTGACTGGCCAGCGATCTCCGGTTCCCAGGATGATCTGGAGATGGTTCAGGAATCTCTGGGGTTTGGCCTTTAGGTTAATGGTTTAAAATAACTCAGTAATGACTTAAAATGAATGAAACTTATCTTGGGTCCTCCTGTATTATACTCTATGTGAAGATGAATGTAAAAAACCTACAGGGGTAGGAAAGAATCTCTCACTCGCAAGTAGAGAATCATATTCCTGGGTAAGAGAATAGGGACAAAGACAGAATTTATGCTTCTCAAAGTGAGGATGCCATTTGTGGTAACCATTTGTTACAGTTTGGTGAGTATCGGTCGTACTTCTCTCTCTATCTCCCAGAAAGACACACAGACAGACATTCAGATGAATAGATACACACACATACTCCATAACAATAAAGAAATTTCTTAAAGAAGCACTTCCTAAGAGGATGGGACAGAACAATAATGTTTCATTTTGTAATGTTTGCTTCTACATTATCTTTTTCCTGTGATGCTCAGAAGACCCCTTCCCATATAGAGGCTTCCTCATGATGTGTAAACAGTTGCTATCAGGGGTTCTGGGTCCTTGTTAGCTGTGTGAGAAGTTGTGTCTCTCCCTTGGGTTTTATGCTTGGCATCCACAGCCATGACTCTGCAGTTCAAGAAGAGATTCTGTAGGTGAGAATAGCAGGAACTGGGTAACCATTTGAATGTCTAATGGTCACCTATGACAGACATTTTCTGTGGTTTTCAGTGAACCACAATCACTGTAGAAGAGAGTGCAGGGTCAGAGCTGCTTGGGGCATCAGTTTACCAAGTGCAGGGACATAACCTGATGATTCAGCCTGGTGGAGGTGTTAGTTGATTGTGAGAATTGTATCTACATGTATGCATATTATACATATATATGCATATGGACATACATTCACATATATATGAATGAATATATATGAATGAACTTTAGATTTAATCACATTTAATAAGTCTGAATGATCTACACAATTTGTCACTATTACTCAAAGTAATCTCAGTTAGATGTTTCTACAGTGGGGTGAATTTTACACTTTTAAATCAAATATTTTTAAAAACATTTCTTTGTTTTGTATCTTCTTATGAATGGATTTCCAAGTATTCCTTTTTATGCCATTGTGTTTAATAAAACCTGTCAATTTCTATGTGGAGATGTATAAAAATTGTACTAGTCAGATTTTACACACTATTTTAACAAACCATTCAAAAACTCAGTGGCTTCTCATACTAAGCATTTGTGTCTATAGTCATGGATGTTCATGTTGACAATAATTTGGATAATGCACACAGGGCTCATCTATGTGGTTCTTCTGCAGGGAGATGAATGGTTCTCTAGCCTACGGATTGTGGTTGATCTTGGGCCAAGACAGAGTGTGGTGACTCCCATGACACATCATTCTCATGGCAAGATGTAGGAGGGTACAGAAACCACAAAACAAGCAAATCCAAGTCCAGTTATTCTGACAGAATTGTATATAATTTGGTCTTTGTAATTTTGAAATTTCTACAAATCATTATTATATTTATTGTTTTAAGTTACGTGATCATGTTGTTTCCAAATAATTATATTTTTCCAAATATACAGTCTAAAGAGGCTTGTAATTTAATTTTGTATGAATTAGAAAGTAAATTTGGAGGGATTTTTGAGATGTGGCTTTAATTGAACAGGTGGCTTTTAATAGAAATGTCTTAAATGAAAATAGAAAATTAAAGAAAGACTAGTTTATGGGAAGTAAAATTGCTCTATAACAGAGCATCTTAAACCTTACACAGCTCTCCCGCCATCTTGTGAAAATGGAGAGCCAGGTGAGTAGGTATCAGGTGGAGACAGCTATTTCGCATTTGTCACAGACTTTCAGGGTTGTCGATGATGCTCTCATTTATAGAGAATTTTAAGCAACAAGGTATTCTTATATTAAGAAAAAACACTGCTTCACCCACATTTAGTTTTTTTTTTTTTTCAATCACAAAAATCCTTCATTGTCAGGTTATTTCTATATACATGACACAATTTCCTCAACCATCTGTTCCCTCAGTCACTTAACAATATCTTCTTGTTATGACCTAATGTTGATAGCTAGAAGCATATTCAAACATATTCTGGGGCCTTCCCCTAACTGGCCAACTTCTGAGAGATGTAAAAACAGTGACCATCCCAGGCTGACTTCTGTCACCTCCCCATCACCACCGTCACTTCTGGAAGCACATTTTCCTGAGCTTCCTTTCCTCTATGGTTCTCTAGAGAGTTGCTCACGAGGCACCTTACCCTAGATCTGGAGGTCAGAAGAGGAGGAAACAATGCGTTTAATCAGTACCTGCAGGCAGATGAGTGATAAGTGAGGGACTGGAGAATCACCTGGGGAGGGGCTGCCGAGGTTAGGGCATCATCCCCTCCATCCCTGGCCCTCTTAGACAGGTCTGAGGACCACGTGGCTAGGCAGCCTGTATCTCCAGTGGTATAAATTCTCTGACTTATGGGGTATCACTGATGAATCACCGTTTCTGGTGTCTGCTTCCCTTATTACTATATCCCCAGGCCTTTGAAGAGTGATATTTAGACATTGCTTCCCTACAGGAAGCAATTCCTACTTGGAATACCTAGAGTGCCTTCTCTTTTGCTGTACAAACCCCGGAGGATGCCATCACCCACACTCCTCAAGTATAATGATCTGGGGGAAAGGGAGTCAGTCAGGAGACCGGGGATCCTCCTTGCCATTCTCCCAAAGCTCCCATAATCTCCAAATTGTGGCTGTCTCTGAGAAACTGTCTGATGCAGTTGCGCGCATCATAGGAGAAGTGGGGGCAGCCCAGCCCCTCACATCTGCTTCCCTGGTGGTTTATGCTCTGACCTGTAACACTGTGGGCGGGTAGCTGTTAGAATGTTGGCAGTAGTAGGTCCCAGCATCTTCAGGCTCCAGGCTGCTGATTCTTAGGGTGAAGTCTGTCCCAGACCCACTGCCGCTAATCCATGACAGGACCCCAGTTTCCAGCTTGGATGTTGCATAGATCAGGAGCTTAGGAGCTCTCCCTGGCTCCTGCTGATACCAGACTAACCACTTGTTAATGTTTTGACTGGCCCCGCAGGTGATGGTGACTCCTTCTTTTGGAGCCATGGACAGGATGGCAGGAGACTGGGTCAGCACAATCTTGCCATGAGAGGCTGAAACCACACAGGGAACATTGGCAGAGCCTCAGGATATGTACATGGAAGTCACCAGTATCTAGTTCGGTGGGACATAGGATACTACTTATTTTTAAAATATGCTAAATTCATCTATGGAAGGATTCCCAATGAAGAAAGAAAATCAGGCATGAAAATCATACCCCCACTTTAATCTGCTTTGTGTAAATATTCTCACCTGGAACCCAGAGGAGCAGAAGGCCAAGAAGCTGTGATGGAGTCACCATCTTGCTGCTTTCAATGGGTCCAATGTGTTCCTGCCACACACCCAGAGATTCTGTTATAAGACTCTGAGAGGCAGAAACACTTCAGATCTCAGAGGAAGAATATATGCAAATTATGGGGCACTCGTATTGCTTAAAATACTCAGTAATAAATTTATCAGAAGAATCCCCCCACCAGGACCCATTATCCTCTGGGTATGTTATCTCCCTCTTCTGGGCATGTGGAGGTTGTGAAAGTGCTTACCCCATGCTTGGCCAACTACAAGGTCTACCAGCAGGGGACATGGCATATGATCTAATGCAGTCCTCTGGTGGACATTGCTGTCACCTGCAGTGAAGAGCTAGTCACATCCTCAGTCTTGGCCCATGACTATGATAACTCCCTGCTCTCTGCTGCAGTGCGTTGTATAAACATCCCCCAGAGCATCCCGCCAGGCCATACTCTGTCAATTACATCCTTTCATTTGCACACTATGAGCAAGAAATGGTGAGGACTTCCACCTACTTGCAAAAACACATGTGCTCCAACAGTGCAATCAAACCCTACAAAAATTCACTGGGGCCCCCACCCTGGTGGCTATGTCAGGGGTCCAGATATCTGAGGAATATGGAGACATCCCCTCCAGAGTAAAGGACAAGTGCTTGCATCTTGTACCTCTGACCACTGAGGTTGAAGCACACTACCTTGTTGAGTGTTGAGTGTTGGGACAACACATTCCACACTTGG